CAGGATGGTCTCGATCTCCTGACCTCGTGATCCGCCCGTCTCGGCCTCCCAAAGTGCTGGGATTACAGGCTTGAGCCACCGCGCCCGGCTTTTTTTTTTTTTTTAAAGGCAAGTTCTCACCTTGTTCAGGCTGGAGTGCCTTGGTGCCATAATGGCTCACTGCAGCCTCAACCTCCTGGGCTCAAATGATCCTTCTGCCTCAGCTTCCATGAGGTTCCTTTCTTAAAAAGCTGGGACCACATGTAACTGGGACCACAGGCGCTTGCCACCGTGCCCAGCTAATTTATTTATTTATTTTTTGTAGAGATGGGGCCTCACTTTGTTGCCCAGGCTGGCCTCACACTGCTGGCCTCAAACAATCATCCTGTCTCAGCCTCCCATAGTCATGAACCAGTGCACCGGGCCCATATGTCTTTTTAAGAGGGAACTTAAACTTCTTTTCATAATTTTAAGAGAGATTTTTATATCCTTTGCTCATTTAAAAAATTATATGATTAGTCTTTTTTTCTTGGGGAGCTATAAAGGAAATTAATCTGTGATATGAGTTGTAAATATTTCAGTTTCTTGTTGTCTTTTGACTTTATGTTCTTTTCCTGAATGAAAAATTTTATTTTTATGTACTTAAAAGTATTTTATAGTTTTTTAATTTTGCTTTTTACTTAAAAGGCTTTTCTTCACCCTACTTTATAAAGGGCCTCACTTTGTTGTATAAAAAGGTTCTCCTGGCTGGACACAGTGGCTCACGCCTGTAATCCTGCACTTCGGGAGATCGAGGCGGGTGGATTGCCTGAGCTCACGAGTTCAAGACCAGCCTGGGCAACACAGTGAAACCCTGTCTCTACTAAAATACAAAAAATTAGCTGGGTGTGGCGGCACCCGCCTGTAGGGCCAGTTACTCAGGAGGCTGAGGTGGGAGAATTGCTTGAACCGTGGAGGCAGAGGTTGGAGTGAGCCAAGATCATGCCACTGTACTCCAGCCTGGGCAACAGAGTAAGACTCTGTCTCCAAAAAAAAAAAAAAAAAGTTCTTCTATACTTTTCATTAGTATTTTTGTAATTTCATTTTTTACACTTAAGTGTTGATTTATGTGGAATTCACTTTGATGCAGGGTGCAGTAGGGCTCCAGTTTAATTTTTTTTAGATTGCTACTCAGTTGTTTCAGTACCGCTTAGTGAATAAGCCATCTTTATATAACCATGGCTGGCTAATTTTTATATTTTTAGTAGAGACGGGGTTTCACCGTGTTAGCCAGGATGGTCTCGATCTCCTGACCTTGTGATCCTCCCGTCTCGGCCTCCCAAAGTGCTGGGATTACAGGCTTGAGCCACCGCGCCCGGCCTCTTTATTTTCTTGAGATGTCACTTTTATTATGTACTGAATTTATCTGTTTATGTTGAGTCTTTAGCTGTACTATGTAGTCTCTTCCATTGATTGGTCTTTTACTGGGCTGTGTCATACTGTTTTTAATTATTGTAATGTTATATTTTAGTATCTGGTAAGGCTAGACCCTCTTCAATTAACTTTTGCTTTATTTTTTCCAAAGGAAATTTAGGAGCTGGACACATATATGTGTTCATGTATTTTCATTGGGAATACATTAAATATATAGATTAATTTAGGGATAATTGGCACTTTTGTGATGTTGAGTATGTCTGTTCAGGAACATGGTATTGTGTTTCCATTTATTCAAATCTTTCAAGTATTTTTTGGGAGCATTTGAAAGTTGTCTTCATATAGATTTATTTTTTTCTGTGGTAACAAAAGACTCCAAAGCTTTAGTGGCTTATGACAACAAAGGTTTATATCTCATTCATGTTACGTGCAGCCTATAGGTCAATGGCAGCTCTGCTTATGCTTCATATGTTCTTTCATCCAGGAGCTAGGCTGAAGGAGTAACAGCCTCCATTTGGCTGTGTTCCTGTATTTGGGACACACCGTTTTCATGGTGAAGCATAGAGAGCAAGAGAGGAGCTGTTGGAAACATGGAATGACTCATGCACGTCATACTTTTTGTTTTGCTCAGACAGGGCATACTTCATGTTTGCTGACAATCCTGTTGGCCAGCAAGTCACATAGTCAAGCCCAGCATCAATGGGCTGGGGATATATGTACTCATCCCACAGGAGATACCATAAGTCACATAGCAAGGGGCAAGGACATATAAGTCCTTCAGCAGCACAGGGCGTGGTGGGGGTTAAGGGTAGCTTGAATAACAGAACAGTAATACTACCTGCCACAATCTTGTTATAAAAAATTCAGAGGCCAGGTGCGGTGGCTCACACCCGTCATCCCAGCACTTTGGGAGGCCGAGACGGGTGGATCACCTGAGGTCAGGAGTTGGAGACCATCCTGGCCAACATGGTGAAACCCCGTCTGTTCTAAAAATACAAATATTAGCTGGGCATGGTGGCGCATGCCTGTAGTCCCAGCTACTCGGGAAACTGAGGCACGGGGATCGCTTGAACCCAGGAGGCGTAGGTTGCAGTGAGCCGAGATCACGCCATTGCACTTCAGCCGGGGCGACAGAGTGAGACTCCATCTCAAAAAAAAAAAAAAAAAAAAAAAAATTCAGATAATATAGAAGTACAGAAAAAAAATGTAAAAGATCTCTGTCACCAGCCCCTTAGATCGTACTACCTGGAGACAACCACTGTTCACAGTTTACAGATCCTGCAAGCTCTTTTTCTATGAACGTACAAGTGTATACACAAACATGTATGCATGTCTATGTACATAAATTATGCACATACATACAGTTCTTTTTTTATAGAAACTAGAGGATTATACTATGATATTCTTCATTTTGCTTTTGTAATAACCTGATGTATTTGGAATATCTTTAATGGCAGGAAACATAGAGCTGCTTTATTCTAAGAGTTGCTTTATTTTCCTTTGAGTAGGTAGATTATAATTTTTTAAACTCATCTCCTAATGTTGGGCATTAGCTTGGCCCTTGTTGCAGACTGTTGCAGGGCACATCATTGTGTAATAGCCACTCTGCCCTGTGTGGCAGAGTGCACAGAGTCCCTATGATAATTGTGCAATAGATGAAGCAAACTTCAGGCAGATGTGAACTCCTACCTACAGATGTGAGCTGGTCCATAATTCCTTGCCCATTGTCCTTGGTCACATCCGTGTTCACCCTACTCAGGCCCAAAAGGTGTGATCAATGACTGGCGCCGCTTCAAGCAGTTGGAGACAGAGCAGAAGGAGGAGCAGTGTCGGGAGATGGAAAGGCTGATCAAGAAGCTGTCAATGACTTGCAGGTCCCATCTGGATGAAGAGGAGGAGCAACAGAAACAGAAAGACCTCCAGGAGAAGATCAGTGGGAAGGTAATTAGCAGTACCCAGGCTTTTCTTAGAGGCTGCTGTGGCTGCTAGAGCTGGGTGAGTGATTCAAGAGGTGGAGGATGCTTGATTTGACCTCCAAGAAGTTGTGCAGTGCAGGAGAAATCATAGAGCCCTGTCAAAACTCAAACACACCCGGTTTTGAATCTCAGTTCTGCTACTAGTGACTGTGGGAAAGTCTCTTCCCTTCTGAATCTAGTGTTTCAATGGTTAAATGATGTCAGTATCCTCCCCATACAGGGCTATGTGGTTAATATGCCCATCACAGTGTCTGACCCATTGAAAGTGCTCAGTAAATTTTAGTTTCCCTTCTTTTATTGAGGTTTTATCTTGGGCCAGAAATAACCCTCTGAGGGTGGTGGTATTATCCCCTTCTTACAGATGATAGAAGCAATGCTTAGAGGGCATTAGAGGCTTGTTCAGGGCAATGCAACTGGTAAATTCTAGTAGGAGCTAGGGTTCTAACCCAAATATTCCTGTTTTTTCCATGATGTTGCTGTTTCATCTGAAGCCTATTCATGAGAATTTATTCTAAGGAGGCATTATAATAAGCAAACAGACACTCTGGAAGATATTTGGAAGTAGGTCCCTGATTTTTTTTTTTTTTAATAGAGACAGGGTCTCTGTTGCCCAGGCTGGTCTAAGAACTACTGAGCTCAAGTGACCCTCCCACCGTATCCTCCCAAAATGCTAAGATTACAGGCGTGAGCCGTGGTGTTCGGCCCCTGATGGCCTCTTATCCTATCAGTATTAAAAGGGATTCACTGTTTCCCTGGATGCCCTCTGACTGCGGATGAATGTCTGTGAGTGCCTGAGATCATTTAGTTATGGCCCAAAGCTAAAATACCATACAGGATCAGGGAGCAGATAAGAGGATTAAGCTGGGAATCATTCACCTTGACCAGGAGACTGATTTTAGGACATGACACTTAGCCAAAGACTTTAGTAGGTCAGAAGAAGCCACTGTGGTAGACCGAGTTGAAGTGGAGGGCTATGAGATGGGAGGAACATTGGCAATAAGTAAAATAGTGAACTCAGAATGTTGCTGGTTATGATACAGTAACAACATGTGTTCTGATCTAGTGGGGTCTCTTAATCTATGCAACATTGGGCAGAGTTAGGATTTATGAGAGGAGCGAGGATGTCTTGTTGCACCGGGGCAGAGGGAAGATGCTTTCGTAGCTTGAGCTGTCTCTCTGGCATTGTGCGTTCTGCTCACAGCTGCTTCCTGATACCGAGGTGAGAGGCCAGAATGAGGCAACATCATATCATCACATGAATCAGTCTTGAGAGAGGCTGTTCCTGTCCTGCTGATTTATCTACAGTAGAACAGAACTGGAAACTGTCTGGCAGAATTAGGGAAGTGGTTAAGCAAAGTGACACATTATATATGATTTCATAAAAATATTTGGAAACATGAGGAAATACTTATAATCATGCTAAGTCTCAAAAGCAGGTTATAGCTTAATTGGTACACCCACAGCTGCTGCGATAAAAGCAAAACTATTTTAGTATGACTGGTAATAAAGAGAATTTTTAGAGTCCGTATGACTGTGTGTGTGTGTTTGGGGATGGTGTGGGGCAGGGGTTTTGAGAGTTCTTTCTAAAATTCTGTAATGTCTTGTTATCTTTCCAAAAAAAAAAAAACACGGTAGATAAAATATTGTCAAGACTGACAAAAAGTAAAAAGTTCATGAAGTGAGATTATATGATGCACCTATTTGGACTGAGAGGCAATGTGATATTGTAGTTAAAAACATGGGTTTTAAAAATCTAGTTTGAGTCCTGGTCTTATGCTTACTGGGTCAACTTGTTCAAATAATGTCAAGTTTTGGAACCTTGTTTATAAAGTGGGGCTATTAAAAGCCCCTTCCCGATGGAGTTATGGAATTCAGTGAGATATAATGCATGTAGAATACTTAGCATGGTGCCTCATATATTATCAGCATGTAGTACATATTAACTGTTTTATTGTTTTATGCTTTTCTGGAGCAGGGTATCCCACTGTCGCCCAGGTTGGAGTGCAGTGGTGTGATCTTGGCTCACTGCAGCCTCCGCCTCCCAGGTTCAAGTGATTCTTGTGCCTCAGCCTCCCGAGTAGCTGGGACCACAGGTGCACACCACCACGCCCAGCTAACTTTTTTTATTTTTTATTTTATTATTATTATTTTTTGAGGAGAGATGGGATTTTGCCATGTTGGCCAGGCTGGTCTTGAACTCCTGACCTTAAGTGATCCACCCGTCTCCCAAAGTGCTAGGATTACATGCGCGAGCCACCACACCTGGCCCATATTAACTGTTGCATCACGAGTGTTCAGTTTTCATATTTATGCTCACTTGCTGGTCCTGCTGCAGATGACTCTGAAGGAGTTTGCCATGATGAATGAGGACCAAGACGATGAGGAGTTTCTGCAGCAGTACCGGAAGCAGCGAATGGAAGAGATGCGGCAGCAGCTTCACAAGGGGCCCCAATTCAAGCAGGTTTTTGAGATTTCCAGTGGAGAAGGGTTTTTAGACATGATTGATAAAGAACAGAAAAGCATTGTCATCATGGTTCATATTTATGAGGATGGCATTCCAGGGACTGAAGCCATGAATGGTTGCATGATCTGCCTTGCCGCAGAGTACCCAGCTGTCAAGTTCTGCAGGGTGAAGAGCTCAGTTATTGGTGCCAGCAGTCGGTTCACCAGGAATGCCCTTCCTGCCCTGCTGATCTATAAGGGGGGTGAATTGATCGGCAATTTTGTTCGTGTTACTGACCAGCTGGGGGATGATTTCTTTGCTGTGGACCTTGAAGCTTTTCTCCAGGAATTTGGATTACTCCCAGAAAAGGAAGTCTTGGTGCTCACATCTGTGCGTAACTCTGCCACCTGTCACAGTGAGGATAGTGACCTAGAAATAGATTGAACTGATAATCTAGTTGCATAGATTTCTCATTGTTTGGGTTGGAATACATATGTCATTGTTTATTTTTGTTCCTTCTTTGTCTTCTGGCTTTTCAGCTGTTCTTTGGAGTCCCTTTTATTATGTGTAACATCAAGAAATTCTTAGATTAAATCAGAATGCTGAATAACCTTGTAGCCAGCAATAAGGTGACTTACAATTGTATAAACAGGAAGCCAGGCTTTTGAACTGTTTACTTAAGATTCTCTGGCAAGACATCTCTGTTATTGTTTCCAGTCAATATTTACAAAGCATCCTAAAAGCAGTGTCTTGGAAATTGTCTTCAGATGATCTCAGAGGTTTCTGCCAAGTCCGAGAGTATAATTCTGTAGGTAGTGTGTGTTATTTGTAGTGTAAATAATACATTTTCTTAATCAAATGATTGTAAATTATATTTACCTGTAATCAGTTCCATAGCTCTAGACGGTGGTTAGATTTTTTTTTTTCCCCCCACTGGGGTCTTGTTTAAAGGTGTGAGTCACCGCACCCGGTCTTGAGGGGTGGCCTCTGCTGCTGGATTTGATGTCTTCCTCCAGCATTACTAAGTCTGGAACAGCAGGAAGGGTCGATGCTTACTGACTTGGTGATGTTGGAAGACGAGTAGTTTATGGATTTAAACATTAGAGCTGGAGTGAGTCTGGAAATCTTTGTAAAGGAGGATCTTCCGGTAAGATGCCCCGCTTGTCTTTGTCTCTTTTTTGTTTAACAAGGTAACTTTTTGTTTAACCTAGATTTTTTTTTTAAACTTTTTTTTTTTTTTTTTTTTTGCATATTGGAAAAATAATTCATATTCAGTAGAGGAAAATTGACCAAAACAGAAGCAAAAATAAGAAAATTAAAATATCCTACTACCTACTACCTAGAATAAAACACTATTCATATTTTGGTCTATTTCCTGCCAAGGTGTTTTCTGTGTATACGTGGATATTTTGTTTGTTTTTAAACAAAACGATGGGATCATTCTGAACATACTGTTTTATAGTATGGTCAGCTAATAATATATCAGACCTTTTTTCATATTATCAAATATTCTGCAACTTTTTTTTAATGTCTATTAATATTCCATCATATAGATGTGATATAATTTGCTTGATGGTTGTCTCTTAAAAAGATAGCAAACACTTTTTTTAAATCACAAAAGTAATGGATGTTCATTGTAGAAAATATAATAAACACTGTTAAGACTTAAAAGCCATATAATTCCACCAACCAAAATTAATCCCTGTTGTCTTATTTGTAGTCATTTTTATAGCCTTTTTTTCTATGTATTTATGATAACTATCATTTGAGTTTTTTTCCTTTTGCTTTTTTACTTTAAAAATACATGTTCTAGGGTCAGGGGAAATGTAATCTGGAATTAAATATTAGCCTTAAAATTCACAATTTTGATTTTCCTGGATTTTCAGGAATTGACTAACTAAAAGAGTCTTGAAAGTATTTGCTGTATTTAATCAACAAACAGAGTGCATTTTTTTTTTTTTTTTTTGACTAAGAAAGGTCATGGTAGTAGAAAGGGTGGATGGTGGAATATATAGAAAAATATTTAGAAACAGGGAACTATTA